TGGTTGTGACCAGCTCAGTGGATTGCTGTAGGAAAGTCCTGGATTCTTTCTTAGATACACAGAATATAACTGGATATAACATTTATATGTAAAGTAGATCCAGGGAATATCTGATTGCCTCTCGGGGGATCAGGAAGGAATTTTTTTTTCCCAACAGGTGCAAATTGAATTATGGTTTGCTGGGTTTTTTGCCTTCCTCTGGATCAACTGTGGGTATAGGATTATAACTTTTTTTTTTTTTTTCTATGGTTGAACTGGATGGACTTTTGTCTTTTTTCAGCCGGACTAACTATGTAACTATCACAGCCTCTGGGACTTTTCTGTTATTTTTGAATGGACTATTTTTATGACACATTTTTCACTGTTTTCTTATGATTATTTGTAACTTTTTAAGCGCTGCACTTTTATGTATTTATTGTTGATTGCCTAATATCAGGGTTTTTTGTGTTCAGCTGCTATATGTTTTACACCCTATTATTGATTACCGTATATACTCGAGTATAAGCCGAGTTTTTCAGCACATTTTTTGTGCTGAAAAACGGCCCCCTCGGCTTATACTCGAGTCAACGTCTGCAGGGGGGGCGCGAGGCTCCGTCAAGGGGGGCGCGTACAGGGGTGGGCAGAGGGCTGCTGTCTCTTACCTGGCTCCCACGATGATCCATCCAGGAAGCGCTGCTCCTTCCGTCACTCCGGCCGCTCCCTCACTCCTGCCGCTCGGCTCCGCCTCCTCACCGGTGATTGGCCGCCAGAACAGTAGCTCAGGAAAGGTACACAGGCGGCCAATCACGGGCGAGGAGGCGGAGCCGAGCGGACCCGTGAAAATCGAGTGAGGGAAAAGCCGGTCAGTGTGCAGTGCAGAGGTGCTGCTGCAACCACATATGCTGGCTGCAGCAGCACCATACTGCAACAGGGGTCAGCAAGTGTCATTGGTGTCAGTGGGAGGAATAGTGCCGCATCATTGGTGTCACTGATACTAATGATGAGGCATTATTCCTCCCACTGACACCAATGATGGGGCACTATTCCTCCCACTGACACCAATGATGGGGCACTATTCCTCCCACTGACACCAATGATGGGGCACTATTCCTCCCACTGACACCAATGATGGGGCACTATTCCTCCCACTGATACCAATGATGGGGCACTATTCCTCCCACTGATACCAATGATGGGGCACTATTCCTCCCACTGACACCAATGATGGGACACTATTCCTCCCACTGATACCAATGATGGGGCACTATTCCTCCCACTGACACCAATGATGGGGCACTATTCCTCCCACTGACACCAATGATGGGGCACTATTCCTCCCACTGATACCAATGATGGGGCACTATTCCTCCCACTGATACCAATGATGGGGCACTATTCCTCCCACTGACACCAATGATGGGGCACTATTCCTCCCACTGACACCAATGATGGGGCACTATTCCTCCCACTGACACCAATGATGGGGCATCCTCCCACTGATACCAATGATGGGGCACTATTCCTCCCACTGATACCAATGATGGGGCACTATTCCTCCCACTGACACCAATGATGGGGCACTATTCCTCCCACTGACACCAATGATGGGGCACTATTCCCCACTGACACCAATGATGGGGCACTATTCCTCCCACTGATACTAATGATGGGGCTTATACTCGAGTCAATAGTTTTTCCCAGTTTTTTCTGGTAAAATTAGGTACCTCGGCTTATATTCGGGTCGGCTTATACTCGAGTATATACGGTATCTATTGTAGTTCTTATTAGCGCAGGTTTATATATATCTATTTATCCTTACCTCTGGACAAAAGCATTGTCAGTCTGGGGAGAGGGAAGAGTTATGTTAGCAGATCTAGATAGATTTAATGGACATATTGAAGATGAACACCAGCTAATACCTTACAAGCAGTTACAGCAAACTATTTTTTTTCCTTGTGGGATAAAGATTGTACAGGTGAAACTCAAAAAAAATTAGAATATCGTGCAAAAGTTCATTTATTTCAGTAATGCAACTTAAAAGGTGAAACTAATATATGAGATAGACTCATTACATGCAAAACAAGATAGTTCCAGCCGTGATTTGTCATCATTGTGATGATTATGGCTTACAGCTCATGAAAACCCCAAATCCACAATCTCAGAAAATGAGAATATTGTGAAAAGGTGGAATATTCTCGGCTCCCACACTAATCAGCTCATTCAGCCATAACACCTGCAAAGGGTTCCTGAGCCTTTAAATGGTCTCTCAGTCTGGTTCAGTAGGAATCCCAATCATGGGAAAGACTGCTGACCTGACACCATCACTGACACCCTCCATAAGGAGGGAAAGCCTCAAAAGGGAATTGCAGGAGAAGTTGGATGTTCCCAAAGTGCTGTATCAAAGCACATTAATAGAAAGTTATGTGGAAGGGAAAAGTGTGGAAGAAAAAGGTGCACAAGCAGCAGGGATGACCGCAGCCTGGAGAGGATTGTCAGGAAAAGGCCATTCAAAAGTGTTGGGGACTTTCACAAGGAGTGGACTGAGGCTGGAGTCAGTGCATCAAGAGCTACCACACACAGATGGATCCTGGACATGGGCTTCAAATGTCGTATTCCTCTTGTCAAGCCGCTCCTGAACAACAAACGTCAGAAGCGTCTTACCTGGGCTAAAGAAAAACAGACCTGGTCGGGTGCTCAGTGGTCCAAAGTCCTCTTTTCTGATGAGAGCAACTTTTGCATCTCATTTGGAAACCAAGGACCCCGAGTATGGAGGAAGAATGGAGAGGCCCAAGGACCCCGAGTATGGAGGAAGAATGGAGAGGCCCAAGGACCCCGAGTATGGAGGAGGAATGGAGAGGCCCAAGGACTCCGAGTATGGAGGAAGAATGGAGAGGCCCAAGGACCCCGAGTATGGAGGAAGAATGGAGAGGCACAAGGACCCCGAGTATGGAGGAAGAATGGAGAGGCCCAAGGACCCCAAGTATGGAGGAAGAATGGAGAGGCCCAAGGACCCCGAGTATGGAGGAAGAATGGAGAGGCCCAAGGACCCCGAGTATGGAGGAAGAATGGAGAGGCACACACTGCAAGATGCTTGAAGTCCAGTGTGAAGTTTCCACAGTCTGTTGATTTGGGGAGCCATGTCATCTGCTGGTGTTGGTCCACTGTGCTTCATTAAGTCCAGGGTCACCGCAGCCGTCTACCAGGAGATTTTGGAGCACTTCATGCTTCCTTCCACAGACGAGCTTTATGGGGATGCTGACTTCATTTTCCAGCAGGACTTGGCACCCCCCACACTGCCAAAAGCACCAAAACCTGGTTCCATGACCGTGGGATTACTGTGCTTGATTGGCCAGCAAACTGGCCTGACCTGAACCCCATAGAGAATCTATGGGGCATTGCCAAGAGAAAGATGAGAGACATGAGACCGAACAATGCAGAAGAGCTGAAGGCCGCTATTGAAGCATCCTGGTCTTCCATAACACCTCAGCAGTGCCACAGGCTGATAGCTTCCATGCCACTCCGCATTGAGGCAGTAATTGCTGCAAAAGGGGCCCCAACCAAGTCCTGAGTACATATGCAGCTTCTACTTTTCAGAGGTCCGATATTGTTCTATGTACAATCCGTGTTTTATTGATTGCATGGAATATTCTCATTTTCTGAGATTGTGGATTTGGGGTTTTCATGAGCTGTAAGCCATAATCATCACAATGATGACAAATCACGGCTTGAACTATCTTGCTTTGCATGGAATGAGTCTCATATATTAGTGTCACCTTTTAAGTTGCTGCACTGAAATAAATGAACTTTTGCACCAGATTCTCATTTTTTCGAGTTTCACCTGTATATGAAGGAATACAAACTGATAATTGTAAGCTCCCCCTGTTAATGTTAAATGGTTGCCTAACTTGAAACCATTTGATTGCGGTCTTCCTGTTGACTGCGGGCCGGTGTCAGGTAGACCTTGAACAGGTCTCTGCACTGCCGACTCGTACCTTTAGGAGCCGTCCTTCTCCCCCCCCCCCAACCTTCTCCATCACTATCATCCTCAGTGCACAGCGGAGAGCGGGAGGCAGCACAGCTCAGGATGGAGGGCGGGAGGAGGAGCTTGCCAAATTATCTTTTCAAGGTAACCGAGAAGTGATTGGTTGCTAGGGCGTTCCTAGTAACCAACCACCAGCTTGTTAATATGGAAAGTCATTCTGGCAGCTCCCACCCTCCATCCAGAACTATGCTGCCTTCCACTCTCTCCTCTGTGTATACAGGTAGGATACTGCAGTGCTTGGGACACTTCTATGGGAGGGAAGGGAGGGGGGAGGCAGGCAGAGGACACTTCTGAGGGGGGGGAGGGGGCCTAGAGGTCACTACTATGGTGTAAAGGGGGGGGGGCAGAGAATACTAATGGGGAGGGGGAGTTTATGTGAAGAGTGGTAGAGGACACTGCTATGGGTAGGAAGAGGACACTACTGTGGGGAGTGATGTGAAGGGGGCAGAGGACACTACTGCAGGGGGGGGGAAAGTAATGTGCATAGGGGGAGGAGGACATTGCTATGGGCATGGCCACCCCTATAGTCATTTCCTCTACCACCCTTCACACCACCCGCCCACAGTAGTGTCCTTTTCCCCCCTTTTTCCCCATAGCAGTGCCCTCTGCCCCCCCTTCCCTCCCATGGACCCTACCCTGGAGCCCCAAGGCAGCTTCCTAAGCAGCCTTATGCTGGCTTTATTTTCCTCCTGCAGCAGCCGAAAGCCACAATACGAGTCATGTCAGTGGTATTCTGTGCTCATCCTGTGTATGGAGATATCACCGTCTCTACACATGGAGGACAATATTGGGGGGTCTACGCCATTATAACATTTGTCTTATAAAATTCTATTTCCTGGAGATTTATAAAGTGATCGAATATAAATGATTCCAATAAAGAGAAATGAGTTCCATCCATGTAGAGAATAGTTCCATTCATTCCTGGGGGGGGGGGGGGGGATTCATTTTCTTCTAGTAACATTCTTCTCTTCTTCTACAGATTGGCCAGTACTCACCTGACAGACAGTTCCTGCCCCCACCTGGCATCTGGAATAAGCAATTACCCGACACTGAGGACACTGGACCTGTCTATGAACAATCTGGAGGGTCCTCATTTCAGGGATCTGATGGCGGCTCTGACAACAAGCCGGATAGAGGGATTACAGTGAGTATAACAGGACTGACTGAGACAATCATATTCTGGGACAGTTTTATATCTAAACCACATAAAATGAAGAGATGAGAGTGTAATATATAAAATTAACCTTTAAACAACCAATCCCAAACTGGCTCATTCTTGGATCTTATCACACTGTTATCAGTCATGAAATTGTGTTTTCTTAAAGCTGAGTTCCACCCAAAAGTTTAAGCTTCACTTATCTGCCTCCTCTCTCCCCTCCGCTGCCACATTTGGCACCTTTTGGGGGAGCGGGTACCTGGTTTTGACTGGTACCCACTCCCACTTCCAGCGCAGTTTGCCGCTGTGAATGGAGGCAGAAGTTCGGGCCCCCCTGCAGCCCTCTGCGACACTACACAGGTCCCAGAGGACTGCGGTCCATGCACAAAGCACAGTGCGTTTTGCACAGTAGGAAACCGGCTGTGAAGTCACAAGGCTTTACTGCCGGTTTCCCTTAGTCAGGATGGCTGCGCCAATTGAAGAATCAGCTTGGGGTGAGGACACTGCTGGATCCCTGGACAGGTAAGTGCCCTAATATCAAAAGTCATCAGCTACAGTATTTGTAGCTGCTGACTTTTAAATTTTTTTTTTCTAGGAGGGAGTGGGGGGGGGCGAGGGTCAGAAATATGATTGTTAGTTTAGTCCATCAGAAGTTATCCTTATTACTACACATCAACCAACTGTTGATGTGTAGTAATAAGACCTCCTTGATCCACTACAGTCTGGCTTCTGTCCCCTACACTTCACCGAAACTGCCCTACTCAAAATCACTAATGACCTGCTAACCGGCAAAGCTAATGGCCACTACTCAGTCCTCCTACTCCTTGACCTCTCTGCGGCCTTCGACACAGTTGACCACCCCCTCCTCCTTAATAAACTACACTCCCTTGGCATCAGAGACTCCGCTCTCCTCCTATCCATCCCAACGCTCCTTCAGCATTTCCTATAATGCTACCACCTCCCCCTCTCTCCCCCTCCCTGTTGGGGTCACTCAAGGCTCTGTCCTCGGGCCCCTTCTCTTCTCCATCTACACCTCCTCCCTCGGCAAACTGATACACTCCCATGGCTTCAACTATCACCTCTACGCCGATGACACGCAAATTTACCTCTCCACCCCTCACCTCACCCCTTCAGTCTCCGCCCGTATCACCCACCTACTGAACGACATATCAGACTGGATGTCGCTCCATTTCCTCAAATTGAACCTTTCCAAAATCAAGCTCCTAATTTTCCCCCCAGCCCGTGCCCCCCCTCTCCATCACGACCAACAACGCCACCATCAGTCCCACCCCACACGCCAAAGTCCTAGGTGTCACTCTAGACTCATACCTGTCCTTCCACCCCATGTCCAATCATTGGCAAACTCATGCAGGCTCCACCTCCGCAACATCTCCAAATTATGTACGTTCCTAACCCCAGACACTACTAAACAACTCGTTCACTCCCTTATTATCTCACGTCTGGACTACTGCAACTCCCTCCTCACTGGCCTACCTCATCACAGACTATCCCCGCTTCAGTCTATCCTGAACTCAGCGTCCAGGCTCATCCACCTCACCAACCGCTCCGCTTCTGCCACCCCCCTCTGTCATTCCCTCCACTGGCTCCCGATTGCCCAACGCATTAAATTCAAACTACTAACACTGACATACAAAGCCATTCATAACGCTGCCCCAAACTACCTCACCGACCTGATACCCAAATACCATCCTACCCATACTCTTCGCTCCTCACAAGACCTCCTACTTTCTAGCTCCCTGGTCTCCTCCTCCCACGCCCGACTGCAGGACTTCCCCCATCCTCTGGAACTCACTACCCCAATCCATCAGACTGTCACCTCAGACTGTCACCTGTCCCTCCTCACCTTTAGGCGCACCCTGAAAACCCATCTCTTCAGGGAAGCCTACCCCGCCCTCACCTAACAGCCAATCTCCTCCACTCCTCCTACTACTCCATCCCCCACAGCCACTTCCTCCTGTACCACTACCCCCTCCCTCCTAGATTGTAAGCTCGAAAGAGCAGGGCCCTTGACCCCCTCGTGTTTTGTTTTGTTACTGTATTGTTTCATGTTCTGTCCCCCACTATAATGTACAGCGCTGAGCAAGCCTTTTAGCGCTATATAAATATTGTATAATAATAATAATAACTGTGTCTCTCCCCATTACTGCACATCTGGTATTTAAGGTCTGAAATCTCCTCTCTACTTCCTATGAGTACAGAGCTCTTATCAGCAGAGATAAATAGAACATCAGATAAAATCCTCCCGTCCAATCACTAGCAATGCTGATTTTGGCCTCACACTGTCTGCTGATCCCATTCATGCCAGTGTTTCCAACCATCCGGTATTTTATGGACTTTTGTAAAAACTGGGCTCTTTTCTCCTGTCTGTAAATGTTCATCACAGAAGAGCGCCCATTAAAAGTAAGGCTGTGACTGTCCGCTTAGAACTGTACATGCGCAGTTCCGGAGCTGGCCGACGGACCATCCGAGGCTCTGAGTCCAAGTGCTACTGCTACGGTGTTGGGGCACTGGGGATCGGGTCTGGTGGAGGTGATGCCTGAGCATGACATCCTGGACTCCTGGTGCATTTTTTGCCACCACTGCCAGTCACCATGAAAACACAACCTTTGTGAACAGAATGGAGCACAGCAATAGTATGTAGTTGGCTATCAGCAGAAACATCACTTGTCACATTGTCATTCTTCTATATAGATACAGGACAGGCAGGAGGAGTATCATTCACTGAAGGGACCTGGCGGGGTGTCTCCAAGAAGACCTTTGAGTAATCTAATGTATTCATTAATTAATGTTTAGACCTGATGTAAAGGGCGACTCTGATGTAAAGGGTACTCTTGCACCCCCCCCTTCCGAGCCGGATACGGGGAGAGGTCAGTCAGAGAACCCAATTATTTTCTTATCTGGAACGGTTTTAAATTGGCAGTTCTTGGGCCCCTTTGCCCTCAGTACAGCTGGGTGCAGAGGATGATTCATCTGGGGTCTGAGGAGGTACACCAAAGAGATTTGAATGCTCTTAAAGGAGAGACTGTTGCTACATCCACATTTTTGTACATAGTTGATAAGGAGTTTGTCCTCAACGTTCTACAGTTCTCTTGGGCATCCCATACACCCCTAGACCTCATCCAAGTTATTAACCGCTTAATAAAAATCACAAAACCAAGCTCAAGGACTGTTTACTGACTCCAGTATGCAAAGTGTGGAAGAAAATGCGTGGTGCCTGGCTTTGCAGAGCTTTAGGGGGACCAAAAACTCAGCGACTCCTAAGGGGGGGGGGGTGCTACAGAAGAAATATGTGTTTTGCCTTTTGCTATACCTTAACCACTTGCCGCCCAGCCACCGCATATAAACGGTGGCAGGGCGGCGCTCGTAGGTAAAAGCACGTTTTAAAACGGCTGCCTTCAAAACAGGTAGGGGGCGTGCGCGAGGCACGCGCCCGCCCTACCTGTCCCACGGGTGTCAGCAGCGGGTGTCAGCCGACGGGTCACGGACATTTTTTACCGGACGTTTTCCCGCGATTGCCGGTGATCGCTGACACAGAGCAGGGCTGCATTGTTTACACACAGCCCTGTTCTGTGTCAGTTCTCTGACAGCTTGTGAGAAGCTGCAGAGTTTTTTCTCCCTCGATCAGCTCCCCCCCCCCCTACAGTACACACCCCCGCCCCCTAGTAAAACACTCCCCTTACACTGCAAATTCTAAAAATGTTAACCCCTTCCTCCCCAGTGACATTAGTACAGTTTCAGTGTTTTTTTTTTTCACTGATCACTGTATTGGTGTCACTGGGGATGTCAGTGACCCCAAGTCAGTTCCCCCCCCCAGTGTCAAAATGTCCGCCGCTGTCCTGCAGTCCTGCCATAAGTCGCTGGTCGCCACCATATGTCGCTGATTGCCGCCAAAAGTCGCTGCGCCATTATTAGTATAAATAAAAATTAAAAATCCCAGTATCTTTCCCGCCATTTGTAAACGCTATAACTTTCACGTAAACCAATTAATTTACACGTATTGGGATTTTTTTTAGCAAAGACATGTCGAAGAATGCATTTTGGCAGAAATTTATGACTAAATTTGATTTTTGCATTTTTTTTTTACTGGACATGTTTTATAGCAAAAGTCCAAAATATTTTTTTTTCCTCAAAATTGTCAGCCTTTTTTTTTATTGTGCAAAAAATAAAAACCGCACAGGCAATCAAATACCACCAAAAGAAAGCTCAATTTGAGGGGGAAAAAAAAGGATGTAAATTTCATTTATGTACCGTATTGCATGACCGCGCAATTGTCCGTTAAACTAGCACAGCGCTGTATAGCAGAAAAATGGTGTAAATTGCAGTATCTATCCCATAGTTTGTAGACGCTATAACTTCACACAAAGCAATCAATATACACTTATTGGGATTTTTTTTACCAAAAACATGGAGCAGAATACATTTTGGCCTAAATTTATAACCAACTTTGAGTTTACTATATATTTTTTATAGCTAAAAGTAAAAAATATTGTTTTTCTTCAAAATTTTTGGCCTTTTTTGTTTATAGCGTGAAAAATAAAAAGCGCACAGGTGATCAAATACCACCGCAAGAAAGCTCTATTTGTGTGAAAAAAAGGACGTAAATTTTGTTTGGGTGCAGCATTGCATGACCGCGCAATTATCAGTTGAATTAGTGCAGCGCTGAGTAGCAAAAACAGGCGTGGTCATTAAGGGGGGGAAATCCTCTGGAGGGCAAGTGGTTAAGCTCATTGCTAATTGCGCTAGCTACTTTTGTAGCCTAAATATTGATATTTGCAGTGAATACGGTCATTTTGGCTAACCTTTTCAAACTGTCAGTAAAAAGTTGGCTCTGTCAGAATTTTTTTTTTTTGTTGTGCCAGTAAATTTCTCTTTTGGAGGTTGGCAGCTTTGATTTCTGCTCTATACACAAGGAGATGATAGCACAATACGAGTCATGTCAGTGGTATTCTGTGCTCATCCTGTGTATGGAGATATCACCGTCTCTACACATGGAGGACAATATTGGGGGGTCTACTCCATTATAACATTTGTCTTATAAAATTCTATTTCCTGGAGATTTATAAAGTGATCGAATATAAATGATTCCAATAAAGAGAAATGAGTTCCATCCATGTAGAGAATAGTTCCATTCATTCCTGGGGGGGGGAGAAATTAATTTTCTTCTGGTAACATTCTTCTCTTCTTCTACAGATTGGATACTACTCACCTGACAGACAGTTCCTGCCCCCACCTGGCATCTGGAATAAGAAATAACCCGACACTGAGGACACTGGACCTGTCCTGGAACAATCTGGAGGGTCCTCATTTCAGGGATCTGATGGCGGCTCTGACAACAAGCCGGATAGAGGAATTACAGTGAGTATAACAGGACTGACAGAGACAATCATATTCTGGGACAGTTTTATATCCAAACTACACAAATCACACAATTATAACATGACAATATTGGATCTCATTTTTGTTTATCTCTATATATAGTCCTTTCTTGACTGTCATCAAATTCTTGGGTCCCATCGCCCTAAACTAGTCTTTTCCTAAAACCGGATTATAATCTGATATTCCACTTAGTCTGTGTAGTTTAGATATTTATTAGTTATTAATTTCCGACTATCGTGCAAAGCCATAAGGGGGACTCCTTGCCTTAAAATCATCTATAGATAAGTATTCTTGTTGAATCTTCCAATATTATCGTTATCTGGTATTATTTAATGAAATGTTATATACAGTTTGATTTTTCCTACAAGTGTTTGTGTGATCTCTCTTTGCACACTTCGAAAAACCCAGAAAAAACAAACTATCACGTTACCGTGATAAAACAGTGTGGTCTACAAATGTGCTCTGTTTTGGGATGACTTGATTTCAATGAAGGACCACTAACTCTTAAAACAAGGGCTGGTTTATTTACAAATGAACATACATACATTATACTTACAAATCGGGAAATGGGACATGAAAAAAGGGGGTCCTCTATTTTCTAATACACAGTCTCTCTGAATCTTTTACACTAGGACCTCTTATCCAATCTTGTCTTGAGATACACCCTCAGTTGGGTCCCTGCAAATTGCATTCTTGATCCTATGTGGGTGATATTGTAAGCCGTGTACCGGGGTGGGCTCCCCTGGATACAGTGAAGTCACGAACGAGGAAAGCAACCCCAACACCAGCTTTTGCCACAACAGAATTTTACTTAGATGTGGCAGATAAACACAACCACAAATGCTGGGAACATACAATAAATTTACATACACCCAGCCCAAAGGCTGAGACCCTTGTGCTGCACAGCACGGCGCCCCCTGATGGATGATGGTAGAAAGTGTAGTAATTTATCTACTGGGGGGCACAACTAAGCTGCCACACCTTACCCGTTATTACCCTACAGAGCAGGAATCAGTGTATGGGTGTACGGTATGGGCTAGCCTGCGGTGCAGCACAACAGCTTACAATCTTACACAAATCTACAGTATTCCCCTCCCATAACTGGTCCTGTAGCACGTGCCTGAGTATTCCTTCTGAGCAAAATGCCAGTCTGGCTTGAGTTTGTAGGATTTTATCAGCTCTCCAATGTGAAATGTCACTTTAAGTTGTGGAGTCCTTCCAATGATCAGCAATAACACTTGTGACCGGACACAGAGACCCTAACTAACTAACTATAGGCCTGGACTCAGTCTTATAGGCGCCAATATTGAAAGGAGGTGTGTGCACAATTCTTACCGACTTGGGTCTGTATTGTATCCGCTGGTGACTCTGAACAGAACAAAAGTCTCTCCACTAATCATGCAATGTTATTAGCAGTGTATGTTGCTTTGCTCCTCTGTCCTCATCAGCTTCCTGGCAGCAAATCTTCCCCTCTTTGAACAGGATTAGCGTCTTGAACACCATCAGCTTCACTCAATGGGATTTCTGATTATGGAGGGCAGTCTCCACAGCTGGATGGCAACGGATTCTCCGATCACACAGCCCCCCTTCTCTCTCTCAAGCATGGCTGCTCTCTCTCCTTTTTCCTGTTCACTCTCCAAGTGTAAAACCCCACCCCTTCATGAATAAAGAAATCTCTATGCAGTCTGAGGCTGTGTTAGAACAAAACAGCGATATCTTGTGGCTAAACTGCAGAATGTCAGTCAGAACTTTTTAATTTACTTCAATCAGTGTTCAAACAATGAAAGCTGTTTCCCCATTTCACAATATCTTGCCTTAGAGGTCACAAAATTTAATTCCTGTCCCATGCTCAGTGATGGGTTTTTGAGCAGATATTTACAAAGGGTGTCTGTGACGGAACGCTTGTCACCTCGATTGAGTGAATCCATCAGAGAACCACTTTCTCGTCACTGGGACACAGGACCAAGGTTCTAGCTGGGCACTGTACCCAAGACTAGATGAGACTAGCTTGATGCAAAATGGAACTACTATATTGAACAGGAACACAGGTTTTTTATATCTTTCAGAACTAAGGGCAGTCCCCACATGAACAATAAAAACAAATATTACACATTAACATAAACCTAAACACATAAACATGCCACAATGGTTTGGTAACAAGGTAAAGTGGACATAATACTAATCACATCTCCAGGAGGACTAGCCGACAGACAAAAACAGGTGACTCTAACAATGGGAAAGCACATCTAGGAGGCACACAATGGTAGAAGGACAGTAAACACACCTTAGTAAACAGCTTAGAGCAAGAGTCCTCATTATCAGGTTTGGAGTCTCTGAGTCTAGGAGGGGGGGGGGGGTGGTTTGAAGCAGCCAATGCTGGTTGAGGCACAGAGACCCCAAATCTGTATCCTGGTCCTCCAGCTCTCAGAGTATGTGTGTTTTGGGGAGATATGGACTTGAATCCCAAGTAAAACTCCTCCAAAGCCCCCCCCCCCTTCCCGGCACACACCGAAGAATAGAGCCCCCTCAGACACCAGGGCCATGGTCAGTAGGCAAGAGGCTAGCCTGCAGTCCCCTCTTAAAGCCCCTGTCCCGGTTGGGTCTGTCACAGTGTCAATAGGATCCTTCCCAATCCCCCAGGAGCCATTCTGTAATACTAGCCAGGTGTGAGCATTAAAATACTCCAGGAGACCTACTGGTCAAATGCTGATGATCTCCTGTATTTATCTAGTCCTCTTTGTTGTTGTCTGGCTGTGCAATCTTCATCTGCCTCAATACAAACTCCATTGTGATTTGCTTCTGGAGAAGATATATTTTAGTTTATGTCAAAGCTGAACTGATATAATTTTTCATGAGATAGAACATCTGGTAACTGGTAGGGATGTGAATAAATCAAGAGTGCGCTAAATATAAGTAAATACAAAAATTATTAGTTAAAATAATGATGTCCGTGATAGAAAAAATTTTATATATAAAAGTCCATCCACCATAACAAAGTAATTACACAGTTCTGAAATCTTGTATAAATCAAACACCGTGCAAAAAAATCCACCACCGAATGAAATGGGTCCACTCACCAGAGCTCCATGCTGACCAGATTATAAATCAGCAAAGACAGCGTTTGCTCTGGGAGCGATGATCAGCAGAAGTAATCCAAACTGGGAGCAATATACTGCAAGCAGCCAATCAGCACAATATGGAACAGCCTTAACAGCAGGTAGTCATCACGTCTCTATAGCATAGATCACGTTCGGGGAATCAAAAAAGGAAATCATGGTGCAGTATGTTTAAAACTAAAATGTTTTATTAAAACGTCAAAAATGCACTCACAAACAGGGTGTCTAGCCGACACCAGCAATGACAGCCTCAAGAAAACAGGGAAGGGACGAGCCCCGCCCAACCCCTGAAAAACAACCCCCACACCATAATCCCCCCTCCACCAAACTTTACACTTGGCACAATGCAGTCAGGCAAATACCGTTCTCCTGGCAACTGCCAAACCCAGACACGTCCATCAGATTGCCGGACAGAGAAGCGTGATTGGTCACTCCAGAGAACACATCTCCTCTGCTCTAGAGTCCAGTGGTGGCGTGCTTTACACCACAGCATCTGACGCTTTGCATTGCACTTGATGATGGAAGGCTTGGATGCAGCTGCTCGGCCATGGAAACCCATTCCATGAAGCTCTCTACGCACTGTTGTTGGGCTCATCTGAAGGCCACACCAAGTTTGGAGGTCTTTAGCTATTGACTCTGCAGACAGTTGGTGACTTCTGCGCACTGTGCGCTTCAGCATGCGCTGACCCCGCCCTATCATGTGACGTGGCCTACCACTTGGTGGCTGAGTGGCTGTTGTTCCCAGTGGCTTCCACTTTGTTATAATCCCACTAACAGTTGAGCGTGGAATATTTAGTAGCCAGGAAATGTCACGGATGGACTTATTGCCCAGGTGGCCACCTATCACGGGACCACGCTTGGAGTCACTGAGCTCCTGAGAGCGACCCATTCTTTCACCAATGTTTGTAGAAGCCGTCTGCATGCCTAGGGGCTTGATTGTATACACCTGTGTCCATGGAGGGGATTGGACACCTGAATCACATGATATGGAGGGGATTGGAACACCTGAATCACATGATTTGGAGGGCGGGGCCAATACTTTTGACAATATAGTGTATTTCCTTCTGGTAACATTCTTCTCTTCTACAGATTGGTTGGTAATCACCTGACAGACAGTTCCTGCCCCCACCTGGGATCTGGAATAAGAAATAACCCGACACTGAGGACACTGAACCTGTCTGGGAACAATCTGGAGGGTCCTCATTTCAGGGATCTGATGGCGGCTCTGACAACAAGCCGGATAGAGGAATTACAGTGAGTATAACAGGACTGACTGAGACAATCATATTCTGGGACAGATTTACATTTCAGCACATAAAATAAAAAGATAAGATAAAACAAAACATTTGAATAGTCAATCCTCAACTTACTCATTCTTGGAATTTATCACATTGTTATCATCTATGAAATTGTGTTTCCTCAAGCCTCCCTAAAATTGATTGTAAAATTAGTCCAGTTACTAATATAAAGAAATAATATTCGGTCATACACGGGGGAATCTGATCTTCCTGCAATGAGCAATTAGAGCCTCATATGAGCTTCCTGTCATGTGATACAACCATCCGATATGTGAGACGGGGATCTCCCTATTAGGCTGCTTTCACACCGAGGAGCTTATGAAGCGTTTTTGTGTTAAAAAAACTGCCTGAAAAGCTCAAGAAAACTGTTTCCCTCTGAATGTATATCTATGTATGTGAATGTGTATCTGTGTATGTGAATGTGTATCTATGTGTATGTGAATGTGTATCTGTGCATGTGAGTGTGTATCTGTGTATGTGAATGTGTATCTGTGTATGCGAATGTGTATCTGTGCATGTGAATGTATATCTGTGTATGTGAATGTGTATCTGTGTATTTGAATGTGTATCTCTGTATGTGAATGCGTATCTGTGTATGTTTTCCCACTGAGGCGTTGCGCTTGCGGTGTAAAAACTCCTGCTTGCAGCATCTTTGAGGCATGTTTGGGGAGTTATGTGAAAAAAAAAACACCTCAAAAACACCTCTTCCCATTGAAATGAATGGTAACCGCCTCAAAAACGCAACACACATGTGTATGAAGGTCTGGCTGTTTCAGCTTTCAGCAGAGTTGCCCACTAACAGCTGAATGTTTAAGAATTGCCAGCAATTAAAAAATAATTAAACAGCGTGGGGGTACCCCCCTCCACCTGCAGGTCTGGTATGGATTTTGAGGGGAACCCCCACACCAAAAAAAAAAAAAGGCGTGGGGTCCCCCCCAAAATCCATACAAGACCCTTATCTGAGCATGTAGCCTGGCAGGTCAGGAAAGGGGGGGGGACGAGCAAGCGCCCCCCCCTTCCCCATTCTGAACTTTACCAGGCCACATGCCCTCAAAGTGGGGTGGGGTACTTTGGTGAGGACAAGGGCCTCTTCCTGTGGTTGTGGAGGTCTGCGGGTGGGGGGCTTATTGGAATATGGAAGCCCCCCTTTTGTGAATGAGTATGGGGTACATGGTATCACTACCCATTCACAAAAATAAAAAGTGTGGTGTGAAAAAAGACAGGAGTCCGTCTTTGACAAGTCCTTTATTAAAAGAAGGAAAATAAAAGAATGTCCCCCAAAGTATCTCCAATGTCAATCACAATGCCCGTAGCCAACCTGAAAAAAAAAAAAAAAGAAAGCTTCGGTCCCGACGCTGGCTCCCGGCCATCTGACTGCTCCGCTGGTTTGACAGTTCTTAAATATGTAAGGGGTGGGGTGACATCACTCATGTGACCCTGCCCCCGTGTGCCATCATCGACCGGGGCATGCTGGGTCAATGATGTCACACAGGGGGGCGGGCTCACATATGTGATGGGCCCGCCCTTTACATATTTAAGAACTGTCAAGCCAGCAGAGCAGTCAGATGGCCGGGAGCCAGGGGCGTCGGGAGAAGAGCAGTTTTTTTTTTTTTTTGGGTGGCGGCTTGCATCGTGATTGACGTTGGATCTACTTTCTTTTGTTTTCCTTCTTTTAATAAAGGACTTGTCAAAGATCGTCTCCTGTCTTTTTTCACACTACAGGTTTTTTGTTTTTTTTTTTGTGAATGGGTAGTGGTACCGTATACCCCATACTCATTCACATGGGGGGGGCCGGGATCTGGGGGCCCCTTGCTAAAGGGGGGCTTCCAGATTCTGATAAGCCCCCCACCACAACTCAGGGTTGTGGGGAAGAGGCCCTTCTCCCCATCAACAAAGCACCCCCCCATGTTGAGGGCATGTGGATTGGTATGGTTCAGGAGGTGGGGGGGAGCACTCGCTCGTGTTCCCCCCCCTTTCCTGACCTTCTGGGCTGCATGCTCGGATAAGGGTCTGGTATGGATTTTTTTTCTTTTCTTGGGGTGGGGGTTCCCCTCAAAATCCATATCAGACCTTAAGGGCTTGGTATGGACGGGGGGGGGGGGGGGGGGGGATGCCATTTTTTTATTATTTTCTAATTGCTGGCAATTCTTTCTTTTAAATTCAGTGGTCAGTTGGCAACCCGGCTGACAGCTGAAACATTAACACATGGTCGTCACTACTAAAATACTGCATGACTTGATAAAATAACTCGTACGGTATTTTAGTAGCGTTTTTTAGTGAATTCCAACATTCTTTTTAAAAAAATGCTATTAGGTATCTTGCCTCACACTCAGATGCCATAAGATACCAAAATGTGCAAATCTGCCCAATTTGAGCTATAAAAGTAAGTCACATGTCCAGGATGTTCCGCTTGAAAAATGCTTCACAAACGCCGCAAAAATGCTAGTAATTTTTCAAGCGTTTTTGAGGTGAAGCAGTGTGTGTTTTGCTCATTTTTGAACAAATTCCACATTTTCAGAACGATTAGAATTCGAATAGATTGAAAACCGATCAACCAATTTTAATAAAAGGACTTATCAAAAACTGTTTGCTTTTGCTAACTTTGAGTTTTTTTGGTGAATGAGTAGGAAGTACTATGTACACCCTACTTATTCACATGGGGGGACTGGGATCTGGGGTCCCCCTCATCAAATGGGGCTTCAAGAATCTGATAAGCCCCCCCAGCTGCAGACCCCTCAACCACTGCCCCAAGTTGTGAGGAAGAGACCCTTGTCCGCATCAACATGGGAACAAGGTGCTTTGTCCCAAAGCACTCCTCCATGTTGAGGGCACGTGGCCTGGTATGGTTCAGGAGGGAGGGCACTTTTTTTTTTTCATATTCTAGTGTGGGGTTCCCCTTACAATCCATACCACACCTGAAGGGCCTGGTATGGGTGGGGGGACCCCCACACTGTTTCTTTTTTTACATTGTTATTAAACTGGCATTTGTTTTCTTTACATTCTGCTGACAGCCAGGAATCTCGCTAACAGTAGATGAGTCATCGGTCACACAGGTCTGCGACTAAAAAGCTGTTTGAGTATTTTCATCTAATTTCCATGTATTTTGGTGTGCTGAAAACAAATAAAATATTGAAAAAACTCCTAGACGTCATGATTTGCCACAAAATGCAAAACTGTCTTCAAATTTATAAAAAAAAAAATTAATTTTTGTTTTTTTTTATATTATGGGTTTTTAACCTAATTTAAAGTCCAAATTACTATTAATTAATTCACATAAGTGCATTTAAGATATAAAATGCCAAAAAAACCTTATATACATATACTGTATTTTCCGGCGTATAAGACGACCCCCCTACTTTTCCTGTTAAAATGTAGTGTTTGGGCTATACTCGCCGTATAAGACTACCCCTCTTCCAATGCACACCAGTGGGAAGAATAGTGCCCCATCATTAGTATCAGTGGGAGGAATAGTGCCCAGTCGTTGGTGTCAGTGGGAGGAATAGCACCCCATCATTGGTGTCAGTGGGAGGAATAGTGCCCCATCATTGGTGTCAGTGGGAGGAATAGTGCCCCGTCATTGGTATCAGTGGGAGGGCCCCGTCCCATTGGTATCAGTGGGAGGAATAATGTCATTGGTATCAGTGGGAGGAATAGTGTCCCATCATTGGTGTCAGTGGAGGGAATAGTGATTGGTAATAGGATTAGTGCCCCATCATTGGTGTCAGTGGGAGGAATAGTGCCCCATCATTGGTGTCAGTGGGATGAATAGTGCCCCATCATTGGTATCAGTGGGAGGAATAGTGCCCCATCATTGGTGTCAGTGGGAGGAATAGTGCCCCATCATTGGTGTCAGTGGGAGGAATAGTGCCCATCCAGTGGGAGGAATAGTGCCCCATCATTAGTATCAGTGGTGTCATTAGTATCAGTGGGAGGAATAGTGCCCAGTCGTTGGTGTCAGTGGGAGGAATAGCACCCCATCATTGGTGTCAGTGGGAGGAATAGCACCCCATCATTGGTGTCAGTGGGAGGAATAGTGTCCCATCATTGGTGTCAGTGGGAGGAATAGCACCCCATCATTGGTGTCAGTGGGAGGAATAGCACCCCATCATTGGTGTCAGTGGGAGGAATAGCACCCCATCATTGGTGTCAGTGGGAGGAATAGTGTCCCATCATTGGTGTCAGTGGAGGAATAGCACCCCATCATTGGTGTCAGTGGGAGGAATAGCACCCCATCATTGGTGTCAGTTGGAGGAATAGTGTCCCATCATTGGTGTCAGTGGGAGGAATAGCCCCATCATTGGTGTCAGTGGGAGGAATAGCACCCCATCATTGGCGTCAGTGGGAGGAATAGTGCCCCATCATTGGTGTCAGTGGGGCCCCATCATCAGTGAATCGTGCCCCATCATTGGTGTCAGTGGGGGGAATAGTGTCCCATCATTGGTGTCAGTGGGGGGGGAATAGTGTCCCATCGTTGGTGTCAGTGGGGGGGGAATAGTGTCCCATCGTTGGTGTCAGTGGGGGGGGGGGGCGAAGTGCCCCATCATTGGTGTCAGTGGGAGGAATAATGCCCCATCATTGGTATTAGTGACACCAATGATGGGGCACTATTCCTCCCACTGACACTTGCTGACCCCTGTTCAGTATGGTGCTGCTGCAGCAAGCATATATGGTTGCAGCAGCACCTGTGCACGGCACACTTACCTTCACTTGATTTTCGCGGGGCCGCTTGGCTCCGCCTCCTCCCCGGTGATTGGCCGCCTGTGTGCCTTTCCCGAGCTACAGTTCTGGCGGCCAATCACCGGTGAGGAGGCGGAGCCGAGCAGCCGCACGAACATCCAGTGGCCGAACTGAAGGAAGGAGCAGCTGCGCTTCCTGGACCGGATCGTCGTGGGACCGGAGCTAGGTAAGAAACGGAAGCCCCTGCCTACCCCTGTACTTAGTTTCACTTCCGTTGGA